AAACACTGAATGTTTGTCTAAAAAATACCCTGTAATTCCTTTGAGGTCGGAGAATTGAGAGTGGAAAAACCCATTTTTTCATAACATCTAGAGGACTCCTTTAAACTGGGTGCCCTTTGAACACAGGTGAAGGTTGAAACTAAATTTAAATGTTGACCGTGATGGAGCCTCTGTTTTTCTAAATCAGAACTAAGAAAGGGTCATTCCTATGATATCATACCTGGAGCCATCTCTGACACTTTAGTAGAACTGCAAGTTCCCTCCGTTGTACAAAACCAGTTTAAACTTGGGCCTCCCTCTAGCAACTGCATCCAAGGCGGGAACTTAACAGATGAGCGGGGAGAAAGATCCTAAGAGAGGGAAGAGGATGGGCAGTGTGGAGGATGCAGTCTTCTGGGTGTGATGTGGTCCTTACACTCTCCCTCACACCCCACCCCAACCCTGAGACAGGGTTACTCTGTGTAGCTTTTGGAGCCTGTTCTGGATCTCTGTGTAGACCAGGCTGGCCTCAAACTCACAGAGATCCGCCTGGCTCTGCAAGAGCTGGGATTAAAGGCGTGCGCCGCCACTGCCACTGCCACTGCCACTGCCACTGCCACCGCCACCACCACCCAGCTGGTCCACACTCACACTCTTGAGCACACAGCAGCTGCAGCTGCCTGTCCAAGACTGACCCCCTCAACATTTCAATGTGGATATGGGGAGAGCTCATGAGGCCCAACCCCTCCCTGAGGATGTTCAGGCAGTTAAGTTGCTGAGTTGGGAGAAATATTTTATCCAGTGTTGTAGACACTGGTAAGGTGTGCATGCTCCTGTAAATAACTTCTCACCCACCTGCTGTAAGCAACACTAATGAAGGTCATTGGATGCCACCTTCAAAAAAAAAACCAAAAATGGGAGACTTGAAGAGGGGTAATTGGGAAGAGGCAGGGGATCAGCAGGATAGGGGAAGGAGGGTAAAGTCAAACTATGTTATATGCATGTGTATGAAACTGTCACAATGAAATCCACTATAATGTATACTCAATATACATTAATTAAAACATTTTAACTTTTTTTTTCTGAGATAGGTGTTAGGATCCTGCCCTCACTCCAGCACATGCACAGCTCAGGGTCTTGCATCTTACATCATCAAGGGGTGCTGACAACTAAGTGCATGTGGCGTGGTCACACAATCTGCACCTTAAGAAAGCTAGACAAGGACCCCACCCTCTCTCTCTGTTCCCTCTCTGCTCCACTCCCGCCATCTCTCCCTCCCCACCTCCAGGCCTGGCTCCCCTCTCTCTCCCTCGCTTTCCCTTCTAATAAAGCTTTCTGTAACTCTAGTAGTCATGGCTGTGGCTCGTGACATGGCTCATGACTTTTGTGCCGGTAACCAGCACTACCAACCAGCACTGTTTACTTATCAATAGGGTCTTACTGTGTAGCCCTGGCTATCCTGGAACTCACAAGGTAGACCAGAGATCTGTCTTCCTCTGCCTCCCAAGCATGGGATTAAAGGTGGATGATACTGTTTCCAGCTAACAGTTTTTTGTTTTGTTTTGTGTTTTGTTTTGGTTTTGGTGGTTTTTGGTTTTGGTTTTGGTTTTTCGAGACAGGGTTTCTCTGTGTAGCTCTGGCTGTCCTGGAACTCACTCTGTAGACGAGGCTGGCCTCAAACTCTGAGATCTGCCTGCCGATGCCTCCTGGGATTAAAGGCATGCCTGAGTCACCTCTGCCCGACAACAAAAAATATATATTTTTTTTATAAAGAATCCTGGCACACAGACTAACTACGGCCACTCCATCCAAACATCAGTATCAATCTTCAGGTGGGGTCCTCCCCTGAGCAGCACTGACAGTGTCCCCTGCATTGGGTGTGGTCAAAAGTGGCCCACCTGCAGGAGGGGCCCACAGAGGGAGAACATGGAGATTCATTGGATACAGTGGTGGAGGTCAGTGGAGCTGCTGGAGGGGGTTGTGTTCCAGCCGCCAAGGAAAATGGTTCCCAGACCATGGAGGCCCTGGTTGGGGGCCTGGTTGTAACTGGTGATAGATGTCCCAATGTCTGGCTCAATGTCACCTAGTTATTTCTGTACACTCACATCTGTGCCCTTTTAGGATATGGGAGCTAGCTACAGAGCATGCGTAATCATGCTGCCATGGCTTCCAGCAGCAGCAGCACCGTTATGGTGAATAGGTGATATTCTATCTGTAGGTCTAACTGGATTTGCAACTATATGAGTGACGACAAGAAATTCCAGCATTTGTCAGTGAAAGCACAGGACACGTCCACTTGCAGATCTTTCTAAAGAAATGTTCAGGGGCTGGAGAGATGGCTCAACAGTTAAGAGCACTGACTGCTCTTCCAGAGGACCCAAGTTCAATTCCCAGCACCCACGTGGCAGCTCACAACTGTCTGTAACTCCAGTTCCAGGGGATCCAACACTGTCACACAGACGTACATTCAGGCAAAACACCAATGCACATAAAATAGAAATAAATTTTATCGAAATGTTCATGCTTGATGTTTATGGAAGAGTGTTCCAAAGCAGCTTGCTGGTTTTACACAGCCTCTCTGTGCTAGCCTGCCTCTCATTGATGGTGCTCGTTGAAAAGGTGACAAGATCCTCAACCAAGAAATGCCCAGTCACGCCAAGCATCAAATCTGACAGGGAAAGATGTGTCCATGGAAACAAGAGTAAGTTCTCATGGTAGCCTCTGGCATGTTGAGCTAAGTGTGATGGCACACACCTGTAAGCCCAGCCCTGGGGATGCTGAGGCAGAAGGATTGCAAATTTGAGGCTAACCTGGACCACACAGTGAGGCAACATCTCAAAAATAACCAAACCAAAAAGGAAAAAAAAAAAATGGTGAACCTGATATTTTGCAACTAGAAGTTTTGTGATGTGGCATTATTATTCACTTCTAAAACTTTCTCTTTGACTTTTTTCTATTTTAAGAGCACAATATACAACAGTATGGCAGTTGTGATGGATCATGCCAGCAGAATATGTTAAGAAGCAGAGGCAGGAGGATCATGACTTGGAACCCAGCCTGGGCTACACCTTTAAATCAGTTGGAGAGATTGCTCAGCGGTTGGTTAAGTGTGAAAGCTTGAGGATGGGTTCCAGCCTCAGAGGTGGGACCATGGGATCCCCAAAGCAACCTGTAAGATGTCCTCTGACGGCCACAGATTAGAGTCTGTAAGAGAGAAATCTGAACTCTCCTTGACAACTTGAGGCAAAGCTAGAATCGCTTGGGATTGTTTCCCTGGTCTCGTTGTCATGAAAAAAAGAAAGAAAGAAAAAAGCACAGAGGGGAATCTCTCCTCATTATAGTCATTTGGTTTAAAAAAAAAAAAACTGAATTTGCATATGGCCTCTGTGTATCTGTAAGAGAGTTTTAAGGCACACCTAAGAAACTGGTCAGCGTAAGGGAGGGGAAGGAAAAAAAAAGAAACTGATACCAAGATTTGATTCCTGGGAGAGAATCTGGGGTCCCAGTCAGTATAACACAGGAAAACCGGGGCGAGGGAGGGGAGAGGTGCTGGGAAACAGTGGAGAAGAACTTGCTTTTCACTGTGTGTCCCATGGTAAGGTTTGGGTATTTCCATGTTCATTAGCCTTACAAAAGAGAGGCTGGCTTGTGCATGTCTGCTTTGTGTGAAGTCATCTGACGACCATACTGAACACCACAGCTGTATTACCCCGACCGAGTTTGATGCCAGGCGAGACTCCAGGCCAGCTCTCAGGAAAATAAGTGGTTGTGTACCCAACTGCCCAGTGGCCCCCAGGTTCAGTCTTGATCATTCCCATTACAGGGACTTAGCCATGATTTTAAGTTTCAAATGTGTCTTTGCTGACATTTATGTTAATGTAAAGATTACAAGCCTTTGCTAAACATTAGCAAATCCATTTTAGAAGGGGAATTTCCCTTGATCCTCATTCAAGATTCCAGCTAGAGTAACCTGGGGCATGTCTCTGTTCTATACATGCCTGGACCACAGGCCCTGATGTTCCGTTCCAGCACATCTGGGTGGCCTCAGCAAGTTCCCTGGGAGAGTATGAGGTACCCATCCAGGTAAGCTGGGAAAGGATTAGGTCGCACAGGGAGAAAACCTGCCGAAGCGGAGGGTGAGAGAGCATTAAGAAATAAGGAAAGTGGGATACTGACACCAGCCACACCGGAACCTCCAGGGTGGGTTTAGCGGTCAGTTCTTCAGTTCTTCCTTGCAGTACATGATGTGGGTACCCACTGAGGCCAGAAGAGGGTGCTGGATTCCCTGGAGCTGGAGTCACAGTTGTAAGCCACCCAACGTGGGTAGTGGGACCAGAACTTGGGTCCTCTTGCAAAAGTAACACATGCTCTTAACCTCTCGCCTTTCTCTCCAGGTCTCCCCGCAGCCCCCGCACCCCCGCAAGCAATTCTAACACACCCTCCAGGCTTTCTCTATACAGGATGAAGTTGGAAGCCCCCAGAAACAGAGGCCCCAGTGACTTCTCCAATCCATTCCATCACTAATCTCTTTTTTAAAATATGTGTGTATTATACATGTGTGGATGCATGAGTCTGTATCAAGAGAGTACCAGAAATGGCGGGAAGTCAGGCTTGGAGACTTGTGCCCTCCGACTCCCACAGAGCCATCTCACTGGGCCCCATCCCCACCTTGTTCATCCCCAAGCAGAGCAGAGGCCCCGCCCCGGTGCTAAACTGTTGGATCTGCACAAGGGGGGCGCCCTGGTCCTGAGCGCCCCTCTCCTAGGCCGGCGGTTCATTCTCCTGGTATCTGTGACAAAATGAGGGTTCCCAGGAGGGCAAGGTGCAAAAGCACAGGGTGGCCACAGAGCCCCCAGAGTGCCTGGGGTAGAGTGATGGGATCGGGGCTCTCGGACCTGGGCGCCCAGGTCCCTCCCCGTGTCCCCGGGAGAGCACAGCATGGGAACCCGGCTGGGCTCTCTGGGCTCACGGGGCCAGCGCCCTCTAGGCAGCGGAAGTGGCGCGGGCTGTACATCCGTCCCCGCCTCGCAGAGTTGGGAGCAGACAGGCAGGGTTGGGGGGGTGTACAGGGGGGGGAAATGCAAGAGCAAAGTCTTTGCACCATGTAGAGCGAGCCAGGGGGCCCGGGAGCGGCGCCCCAGGTCTGCGGCCATGAACGCGAGCGACAGCTTCTCAGGATCAGTGCAAAGTAAGTGCTGGGCGGATGTAGCTGGTGCCGGGCCCTGGGCGCAACCAGCAGGCCCGGGGCTCCGGGATCCTGGTGACCGCGCACCTTGCACGCCCCTCCCCAACCCCATCCCAGACAGCCGCTGGGCTGGGAACAGAACTCCTGCTGCACCACCACCCCCCGGGAGGCATGGCCTGGGGAGGCCACGCGATGCAGAGACCGTCACCTCCTCCCCAACCCGCCTGGCAGAGTTTGGGGCACAGTGGAGGGAAGGAGAAAGTGGGGTGACCTGGTAGGGAAACTTCTGCCTCAGTGGCTCAAGTTGGAACATCGCTGAAAGGCTTGCGGGAGGGTTTGCAAAGCTCTCCCTGCACTCCGGGTGGGGGGATGTAAGGAAGACCACGCTGGGGTGGCTTGCTCTGAATTTGGGGTTCTCTGTCATTTTCCTGGCATCACATCAGCTTTTATTTTACCCCCTCCAAGTTCTTAGTGTCCCCGTGTGCCTTTGTTTCCCAGAGTTGGGCCAAGAACCTATCGGGAGGTAACCACCTGGAGCGCCAGCATGTTTAAAACCAGGCTGCTGGGTCCGCCCCCGCAGGTCTCCGGGGGTGGGGCCAGAATCTGAGGTCTTCCCCTACTGCCTGGAGCACCAGAAGTTTGAAAAGCCCTGGCCAGGGTTTGCAGACACCTGGCTCAGTTTGCTAACTGCTGTTCTTGGAGCCACTGGCTCCCAGCTTGCCTGGGTGTGCCCTGCATGACATATGAAACGGAGAGGTTTCCCTGAACCCCAGCCCCCACCCCATCGTGTCTCAGTGTCCCCCAGTGACATGCACTTAAGGTTGTGTTTAAAGAGGGAGAACCCCACCACGTGACCTGCTTTGCATCCGGGAATCTGCCCCCATACAGGCATTAGCTCAGTTCATCTTCAGGGGTCCTAAGGAGAGACTTACCCTCATTGGAAAACCCAGGGCTAAAGTCACTGTTGATGCTAAGAAAAGACCCCGTTGTGACTTGTTCCTTTTGTGAGTACCAGAAGCATAACTTAGTACCAAAACTGCTTCATCCTGGACACCAATACTATTCCACCACGAAGACGCCCTTAGCTGTGTAAATATGGCTACATTCTCACTGTTTTCGTAGTATTGGAACTGTCCCTGTAGCCACCGGGCTGCAGCAGTCCAGAGGAGGAAGGCCTTGGTCCTGCTATCTGTTGACTTCTAAAGGCAAGGTGACTTACAAAGTGTCCCTCCCCCAGCATAACTTTCCCTGGGACGTCTACCACAGGACACCACAACACACAAATGCCTTGTCTTAGTCCTGAAAGAAACTGGACAGAAGCAAAACAGCTTATAATTTTCAGAAAATTGCATTGTACAGACACTGTGTCTGGTAGTGTTTAACTTCACTGGTTACAGGCATTATCATATGGTACATGGACATGTTCCCACTAAACAATTACATGTATGAAGAATGTTAATGCTTATGTGGTATTATGTAGGGAAAAGATTAGCTTCACAATAAAATGAAAAAATTGAAATTTTAAGCATAAATAGTAGAAAATGTGTTTGTAATGTCCATGAAAGGTACAAATGAAAACATTATGAGTTTTTTTTCCTGCCAGTTCTTACTATTTCTTCCAGGTTTTATTTTGTGTTTTATTATAATCCAAGAGAAAAAAATTAAGATTTTATTTCTATTTTTAATTATGTGTATATAGGGATAGGTATGTGCTTTTGAGTGCAAGTGCTTATGGAGGCCAGAAGAGGGCGTCAGATCCCCTGGAGCTGGACTTGCTGGTTATGAGCTGCTGAGTATGAATGAGTTCTGGAAATTGAACTCATATCCTCTCCAAGAGCAGTAATACTGAGCCATCCCTACAACTTCGCAAAAGAAAAAATTTAAGAATAAAAATTAAATTTCTCATGTTGAGACTTACCAATTATTATCTTATTTTTTTAAGATTTATTTATTTATGTATATGCATGCTCTGTCTGCATGTATGGCCTGCATGCCAGAAGAAGGCATTGGATCCCATTGTAGATGGTTGTGAGCCACCATGTGGTTGCTGGGAATTGAACTCAGGACCTCTGGAAGAGCAGCCATCTCTTCTGCCCAATTGTTACCTTATTTAACAGATGTTTATATAATGTTTTCTTTTGCTGTTGTTCTGAGTCAAGGTCTAGATGTTTCAAAGTGGTCAAGACCCAGGAGTTAGTCCTCCAGCCTCCACCTCTGGAGTGGCTGGGATTGCATTACTGGCCTGCATGCCTACACCACTCCATTTTTAGGAGGTACTGGGGATCGAACTTGGGGCCTTAGATATGTAAGGCGAGCCCTCTACCCACTGAGATGCATCTGAAGCCATATTACTTTCTAATATAGAACCAGGTACTGTGTTAGTTGCCTTGAAACTCTCAATATAATATTAACTCTCTCTCATTGCTATAGAAAAATGATGTTCCTGTCAGTTAAGAGTGAATTCAGTCTACAAGTGTCAGAAAAACCTGAACCATTCTAATTCATTTATACTGGGGTTGCATTCAGGGACCAGGAAAGTGAGAACAAGAATCAGGGGTTCTAGCATTTTCCTCGTAGTTCTAAAGTGTCTGCAGAAGTGCCGGCATCACATCAGTGTCAACAGATAAAGAAGCAACAGCTGGCCTTTCCTGCCCCCTTTGTGGTGTGTGTGCTGGAAGAGTCCACACATCAGTCAGGGACCACCATTGTCAGGGACCACTGTAGTCAGGGACCACTGTAGTCAGGGACCACAGTAGTCAGGGACCACCATTGTCAGGGACCACTGTAGTCAGGGACCACAGTAGTCAGGGACCACCGTTGTCAGGAACCACTGTAGTCAGGGACCACCGTAGTCAGGGATCACCGTTGTGAACTATGGGTTCCAAGGTGATGAGGCATTTGGAAATGTGTGTTGGGATGGGGGTAGTTTTCATAATGACCTTTCTGTTGGGGCAGGAGATGGCCTCAGGGCCTGGGAAGGGCTGGGCAGTCCTGCACATCAGAAGAGCTTTCTTTTTTATTGGTTGTGTGGATGCGGATGTACTGGAGTGCACATCCTTGTGTGTGCACACATACGTGTGGAGGCCAGAGGACAACCCTGCTGGTGTTCCTCAGACAACACTCCTTGTGTTGTGAGACAGGGTTTCTCCCTAGCCTGAAACTTGCCAAGTAGGCTAGGCCACCTGGCCAGCAAGCACTGGAATCCTCCTGCCTCCTCCCCTAGGCTGAGATTACAACCTCACACCCCACACCCAGCTTTTTACATGGGTTCTAGGGATTGAACTCAGGGCTTCATGTATGCAAGGCAATTTGTGGACTCTCTTGCTGTGGGATAATCTTCTTATACACGGTAAAGATTTGTCACTCCAGTTGGTTTAATAAAATGCTGATTGGCCAGTAGCCAGGCAGGAAGTATGGGTGGGGCAACCAAACTTGATGAGAAGGAGAAGGGCAGAGTCACAAGTTGCCAGAATACAGAGGGAGCAGGAGATGAAAGTGCCATGCTAATAAAGGGACCACCACATGGCAGGGCATAAATAAGGAATATGGGTTAACTTAAAATATAAGGGCTAGGGTTAACTTAAAATATAAGGGCTAGTTAGTTATAAGCCTGAGCTATTGGCCGAGCATTTACAACTAATATAAGCCTCAGAGAGGTTATTTGGGAACAGGCGGTCGGGACAAGAAACTTCCATTTGCACTGTCTCCCCAGCTCCGAAAGAACTTTCTTGTAAAACATAAACCCCTGGCCTATGGGAATACAACTGCTTGCACAGAATTTGGAATAGGTTTCCAAGAAAGAAGAGAACATAGGCCGTCCACTAGCCATGTCTGCCTCTTGCCAGGACACTGGTCTGGAATTAAAATGTGACTTTCCCTTTGTCCCATGGAGTCCCAGGAGGCACCACGGTCCTGGTAGAGCTGACACCAGACATCCACATCTGTGGTATCTGTAAGCAGCAGTTCAGCAACCTGGATGCCTTCGTAGCCCACAAACAGAGTGGCTGCCAGCTGACCAGCACACCCGTGACAGCCCCCAGCACGGTCCAGTTTGTGTCGGAGGAGACGGTGCCTGCCACCCAGACCACCACCAGGACCATCAGCTCGGAGACGCAGACCATCACAGGTACAGCCAGGCGGGGGTGGGGCAGGAATGGGCACAGGTGGCTGGCTGCATCCGCCACCTCTGTTAGGAAGGCCTGCCCAGGGCCCAGTCCCTCAATCGACAATTTGTTATTTTTAACCCGCCCGCTGGGAAGCAGCTGCTGGGCTGGGTTTGGAGTTGAAACTATGAGTGTAGATAGTGAGAAAAGTCATGTGTGTAAGCAAAACAGACAAAGGCCAGGTTTCTAAGCCAAACCTCTGGACTCTGAGAAGCAGGTTCTCGCAGATATTTGGGGTGAGTATGCATGCGAGCCCTGGCTTGGCATCATTTCTGTGAAAAAAACAGAAACATCATGGGTTTTATCTTGTCTGGGTTTGTTTTTTTTGTTTGTTTGTTTGGTTTTTTTTTTTTTTTTTTTTTTTGGTTTTTGTTTTTTGCTTTGTTTTGAGACAGGGTTTCTCTGTGTAGCCTTGGCTGTCCTGGATTTCGCTCTGTAGACCAGGCTGGTCTACAGAGATTAAAGGTGTGCACCACCATGCCCTTATTTTGTTTTTTAATCTGAAAGTGAGTATGTGTCTCCCCTCCTTCTTCTACCAAGAATGCGAAAAGCACGTGCTCTTCTGTCCACGCATTTTGTCAAGTTACAGAGGCGTCAGAAGGTTGAATATAGCCACGTACGGGGCCTAGGCTCCCAGTAGGAGCATTGGGAGTTCAAGGTCATCTCTGGCTATACAGTGAGTTCAAGACCAGTCTGGGGGAAAATCAATTAAACAAATGTATTCTACAGCCCAGCGGTGGTGTCTTTAATCCCAGCACTTAGGAGGCAGAGGCAGGTGGATATCTGTGAGTCCAAGGACAGCAAGGGCTACACAGAGAAACCCTGTCTCAGGAAAAATCAAAAAGAGAAAAAAAATGTATTTTACAGATCTGGAGTAGGGGGCTGAGAGATGGCTCAGTGGCTA